TCTGTCAGTAAATCTCTTGGCTCTTCCTTCAAAATATACCCAATCATTTCTCATCACCTCTCCCAAGTTGGCCTGATCACGATCAACATTGCTGCAATCATCTCTCAACTTTTGTTCATGCCCCTATAGTCTATGCAAGCAAACAGAGAGATCCTTTTGTCAGGAGATCATGTCACTCTCTGCTCAGAGTTTTAGATTGACTTTTCATTACAAATGGCCTCCAAGGGAAAGACTGATGGAGAAGATTGACCCATCTAGTACCAATCTCTATGCCTTCTCTGGTTTCTGTATGTGCCTAATAATGGCCGTGCCACTGTGTTCCCTTGAATGACAGTGGTTTCCACTGGTAGTCCTATGCCAAGGGACAGACAGGAGCTGCAGGGGGCTTAGGATGGTATGAGCCTGAACTTTTAAAGTACCCACAAGTTCTGTGCATAGTTTATGTCCCTTCCAGAGTGGAAACAAGTGCAAAAAGCAAAGAGATGGCTCTTCAAACTGAACTAAAGTTGGAATTAAGAGAAGAACATGCTAATAAGCTTCATGTAATGTGAAAGTATCAGCATTACAACTAGTTTTAAGACCTCAGAGCTTAGCTTTCCTTGCTCCTTAAGGAGGAAGACAGTAGGAAAGTAAGAGCATAGAAAAGTCCCCGGGAGGACCTATGATGGAATGCTTGCTCTCTCACTATGGATGAGTAAATTATTGTTCAGGAAATGTTCACTCCCTCCTCAGCCCCAACTCCATGGGAGTATTTTGATGTTGGGCTTGGCCATATGACTTGCTTTGACCAGTGGAAAGTGGATAGAAGTGACAGTGTGTGAGTTTCAAGCCTAGGTCTTAAGGAACATCACACATTTCTGACCCCCAGCATAAGAAGTACTTGATCTCAGAAAAATGAGAGCTTTGTGGAGCCAAGTTGCCCTAACTGACCTGCAGACATATAGAGCTACTCTAACCAACCCATAGATGCAGTAGTGAGAAATCAATGCCTATTGCTGAATGCTTGTTTATTATGCAGATATTACTGACTAATAGAGCCACTCACTAGGTGTGTGTCCTTGACAAATGGCTTCACTTCTTAGAGCCTTGCTTTCCTCATCTATAAACTGGTATAACAATTGTATCAATTTTGAGATGGGACTTTGTGAGCACCAGGTAAGGTGCTGCACATAAAGCTCTAGCACAGAGCCTAGAGTGCAGAAAGTGTTTGTTTAGCATCTCTTCCTTGTTCCTGATGATGAGCACTTTGTAGAGTGGGTACTACAGCTGCGTGAGTATGGCAGACTGAAGCTCTGCTGGGGTGTAGTTCTGGGTAGCATCAGAAGAAGGGCTGGTTGGGAGAGTGGGTGGGGGCCAAAGTCAGTTGTCCCTGGGTAGTGTGTTTGGGTGGCAGCTGTGGGGACCCATCTCTTTCTTGCTTGCTTAAAAGTATGAAAGCAGGGTACTCTGATAGTTGCTCCTGAGCAGGTGGTGTTGTCTTTGTCTCTACCAGAATTCATGGGCCAATGAATAAACTGCTGCTTCCTGTAGAGCCTCTGGGGGGGACTTCCAGGCTTGTGTTTCCTACCCACTGGCTGTGTCCATGTGCATGACTCCTGTTTCAGAAACTTCCCTTCTTGCCGTCTGCTGGCCAACCTTCCAAGAGCTGGCTGCCCTGGGGCGTTCAGCTGGAGGGAAGAGTGCTAGTGCTTTCCTTCTGTGAAAATCAATCTCTTTCAGCCACAGTGTCCTGGGCATCACAGTGTCTAGGCCATTCCCACATGTCAGGCCAATAATTATCCCTGCAGTGTTACTTCCTTCAGGTATGTGATAAATGCTCCTGGGAATACCTCCATTATTCCCCAACAGTGTAAAAGCACAAAATACCTGTGATTAGGGACGTAAAGCAGTTACCTTTCCCCATACTGGGTCTCTTTATCTTGCTTTAGTTCCCTTTGGCCCTGACAGGTAGATGATGGGACAAGAGAAGGGGGCGCTCCTGCTCTGTCTTAGTCCCACTTCTAGGAGCCTATATCTAGGGCAGTAAGGGCATTTCTTCAAATATGCTTCTGCATAAACTCCTTAGCCTGTTCTCAAGACCCTTCAAGATCTGACTCCAGACCATCTTTGCCGCCATTCCCTCTGCCCCTGTAGGGGGCCATTCGTTTCTCCATTTATTCAGTCCATAATGAATGTTTATTGGATGTGCTGTGGGCAGAGAGGAAGAGCTGATGAAAGCAAAGTTCCTTCCTTTGAACTATTGAGTCCTTTAAATGCTCTTCTTGCTTTTGTATATGCTGCTTGGAATCTCCCTCCCTCCCTCCCTCTTTTCTTGCTGTCTTTTCTTACCAAATGTTTACTCATCTATTCAGTGCTTATTTGAATAGCAATTGCTATGTATAACCTTGCCATGAATTTTAGGCAGATTTTCTATGATCCCAAAGAGTTCTGTTCCTATTTTTAATACATTATAATTGTTACACAAAGTTTTTAAATTTTTTTAGACATGTATTTATTTATTTGGCTGCGTCCGGTCTTAGTTGCAGCAAGCAGGATCTTTCATTGTGGCACTTGGGCTCTTCTTTGTGGCGTGCAGGCTTCTCTCTAGTTGTGGCATGTGGGCTCCAGAGTGCATGGGCTCAGTAGTTGTGGTGCACAGGCTCTTTAGTTGTGGCATGCGGGCTCTACTCTCTAGTTGTGGCGTACAGTAGTTGCAGTGTGCAGGCTCTCTAGCTGTGGTACATGGGCCCAAGAGCTCGCAGGTTCAGTAGTTGTGGCATGTGGGCTCTCTAGTTGTGGCACACGGGCCCTAGAGTGTGCAGGCTCAGTAGTTGTGGTGCATGGGCTTAGTTACCACACGGCATGTGGGGTCTTAGTTCCCGCAACCAGAGATTGAACCCGCATCCCCTGCTTTGGAAAGTGAATTCTTAACCCCTGGACCACCTGGGAAATCCCCTGCTATACAAATCTTTATGAAACACTATGATATGTCTGTCTCTCTGACTAGAGAGTGAGGGGCTCATGGACAGGAAACATGTTCTATTGATCTCTCTACTCCCTGGCACGCAGGACCACTTAATAAATACTTGTAGCAAATATTTAGTGAACAAATGAATGAAGGTCTTTGGTCTTAACTTTGCTATCCTCTTCAGCTATTGCCAAAGTCTGTCCTTTTCAGTTCCTACAGACCCAATGGGGATGAGTCATCAGGAACATCTCACTTGAAGTAGATGAAGTTGAAGTTCCCCTCAGCCACATAACTGCTATTCATCATTGTTTCCAACAAGATCTGTCATCCTGGCTCTCTAGCCCCTATTTGCATCAGAATTGATACCTGTTCGTAAGAAAGGCCATCTTCCCATAGCACAAACCCAATGGATGCTTTCATCTTTGGCAGCAGCCACATCACTTAATACTAATCAGACCAGAGCTAGGGGGTGGGGCAGGGAGGGAAGTCCCACTAATGATTGACTTTGTAGCTGGCAATCTTTTAGATTGTGTGTTGAGGCTTAATGTATGATTTCATGGCTTTTCATGGTCTCTAAACTGCAAATTCAAGGTTATTTGAAAACATTTTATTTAATTTTTATGCTCTTTTAATCAAAAAAGTTAAAAAAACTAATAATCCTTTATGGGCAGTTATAAAAACTATTTGCACACAAGACAGAAATGTCTCCCTTTGCTGATCAATCTAAGTTTGAACTTAGAGAGGACTCCATAGGGGTACTGATGAGGCAGGGTGGTATGGTTTTGGAGATAACTTAATTCTTCTAGGTGATTCTCCAGGTTCATTCATCACCGCCAGCGTCCCCAACCCCAACCTCTTCATATGGAAGTGACTTCATATGGAAGCGAGTGCCTGTGGGGAGGGCTGGTGTCTGGCCCATCTTTTTATTCCAGGAGCCTCACTTGGTGCCTGTCATGAGGCAGGTGTGCAGGAAATGCTTGCTGAATGGATGAATAATTGAACAAGAGAAGGTTTCTCCATACTTTCCTTCCAGCAGTCTGAGGTGAGATCTGTAAGCATTCACTCTGTCTTTCCACGTCACCATTGGAGGTAGAAGCACCAGTGGCCTCCACCAAGTGAGGATACGCAAAGGGGATGTGAGGTGTTAGAATGTTTGTGTGTTGCTTTTTACATTTGCAAAGATCAGATTCAGAATCCTAGATTTAGAAAGACCTTAGAAATCTGAAGTTCAATTTCTTCACTTAACAAATGAGGAAACAGAGTCAAAGTGAGGAAGTTCCTTGATTAAAGACAAAATTGGCACATGAATTCCACTTTTCTGGTCACTCTTAATTAGTTAAATGTTTTTTTTTTTCCTATACTGTTTTATTTCATTCCCTTGGTGTGTGCTGTTACCCATAACTATCCCCAAATCTTGCAAACTCTGGGATTGCTGTGGAAGACAGTAGCATCCTTTCCCCTCTACTCCCTTCAACTTTGCACTGTTCTCTCTTTTTTGCTTAAGGATTCTGGGGATAAAACACTCTAGAAACCCAAGGAAACTGGACAGAGTTCTCTAGGTCATTGTATCACACACGTAAATGAAGAAAAATGCCACCCTGCCTCCACCTGAAAGGGAGACCCAATGACACAGAGAGGGAGATGTGGTTTCGCTGAGGGCTTCTGGATGTTTTGAAGTTGGATCCAAACCACCTGGTGAATGCTTTTTCAATCACATAATTGGCAAAGCCCCAAATGTGGCCAGCTGACATGGTAGAGTCTGTCAGCTAGCAGAGTCCCCCAGCTCTTTACCAATCCATGGGATAATGATGACCATCATCATAATAATCATTATTACCTTAGACAGACATGGATGACAAAGGCACTCTGGGGGCTTCTGTTTGAAATGAGCTGCTTCTTAGCCTACCTTCACTCTCCAGAGTGACTTTCTACAGAATTAAAGGATCATGAAGCTGAAAGAGGCCCTTGGAGATCATCAGTTCTGCCTTTCTGACTTCAGACGGGACTAACATTTATAGAATAGTTGCTATATAGGAAATTGAACCAAACTTACTTTTATATGTTATTCTTGTGATAGTGTCTCTGTTGAGCATTCGATTAAGAAATGGGTTTGATGAATCAGAAACCTAGGGGAGAAAAGAAAATATTAATAACTGGGCAGTACTATTTCAAGATAAACATCGCCTCCATGCATTTACTTATTCACTCATATATATTGAGTCCCTACCATGCTATAAACACTATGATGGCTGGAAATTCAGAGATTAAATATATAGAATCTACTTTCCAAAATCCACAGTCTAGAGAAAGAAGACAGGTAAGTAACCTAATGGTTATAATTTAGTGTGAAGAGTGCTATGATAGAGTTACAGGTATGATGATATTAGAGGAAGACCGTCCACCTGGGGAATCTTAGGCACTAAGGCCTGAGCTAAGTCTTGAAGGATAGGGGGAAGTTAACAAAGTGCTTTGGTGGTATAGTGTGGAAAAGGAGGAAAGGTGAAGAAAAACATGACATACAGAGGATTGTGCACAGATGGACATGGGAGAACTAGTCATGCCCAGGGAAGTATTTCAGTGTAAGTGAAGGTGAGAGTATGGGGGAAGGATGCGAGGTAAGGATAGAGAGGTAGGCAGGTGCTAGGTCATGTCAGGCTTTGAGTGTCATGTTAGGGAATTTAAACTTTATCCTGTAGGGATGGGGAAATATCAGAGGGTTTTAAGTAAGGAGTAGGGAGTGACCTATTAAGAAGGGGATAGTTTTCCAAGTAGAGAGTGAGAGAAAGAGTACTCAGATCAGTGATATCAGGAGATAAAAAAGATCTCTAGGATATAATATAGAATCTTATACCACTGCTCAGTATTACATGAATCAAATATATCATAAGCCATGTCATTCAGTCAATCAATCAATCATCCATCAATCTGTCCTTTCATCCATCCAAAAATTATTTACCAAATTCCTATTATGGGTGACACATTTTACTAGATGTTCAGGGATCAGTTCCCATTTTATGCCCATGCTGTTAGGTCTCCAAATTCCTTGTTTGGAGAACAAGCCAAGTTTCCAGGGGCTTAAGCCAGGGAACCACAATTTGGAGACTGTGATGGGCCCCCACAAGACTGTATATACTGTTTTCTTAACAACTCCCTTTTTACTCAGCCTTTTTCTAGGGACCATTGTTCATCCTAGATATTTTTCTCCTACCTTGCTCAGCTGTGCTCTGTAATTTACACCTCAGCTGCTAATCGGATGTTGTGACACATCAACATTTTAAATCTGATTTATTCTGAGGGTTGGGAAAATTGCAGCAGATGATTATTATTATTAGATAAGCAACAGGTAATTTTTAGTTTGCAGAAAGCACAGACTGTTTATTTTCCCTCCATCTGCCTTTCCTTTCCCACGCAGTTTCCTGGGTGTGTTGTTGTGGTGAGACATACACCAAGGGGAGCTTGGTGAGTGACAATGTTCAACGGAGGTAAAATCCCACTCCAAATGGAGAAAAGCCCCAAATTAAACACTGCTGATCCCTGGAAGCTTTAGTGCTGAATCCAATTTCTACTTTGACATCCTCTTCAGCTATTTAAAAGATAGCCTGAAGCTGCCTGTTTGTGTTGATGCAGTCCATGAAAGGAGAGCCAAAAATAGATCGTCGTGGCAGGTGAGGAATCTGCCATGTCCCTCAATCGGGTGCCTTGGTTTCCTGGTACCCGGTGAGTCTGGGCAGAGCTAACATTGGGATTAGACATTTTTGTGCTGATTAAAAATAATTGAAAAATTTCCAAAGTGCACACAGATGATTTGTGGGCTCTAGCATGTTGGCTGTGTGGGTGAGAGGATAAAATATGTACTTGGTATAAGTGAGCTTAAGTGGGAAGTTAATGGTATGTGATTGAGCAGCAATTATAGCCAAATCTCAGTTCCCTGTGGTCATAGGAATGGTGGGGGATTAGGAGGGGACAGAGATAGGTAAAACCCACAGATAAACAAATCTCTTGTTTTAACAAACAATTCCAGTGCTTTTATGGCTCAGCTTTTGGGCCAGGGTGACATCTTGAGGGCTCAGCTGACCTAGATACAGGGTCTCTCATTTTCTGTTCCTGCCTACCTTGAGGCAGGAACTGGGGAGGAGAGGCAGAAAGATCAGCAGGAGGGGAGGGCTACCAGAGGTTTTGTTCACGTCATTTCTAGGTACCAGTGTCCAGAACAAGGCTGGACTGTGTCCCATGCTCAGTCAGTGTTTGGGGATGAGTGAATGACAAGTCACAGCTTGGATAACTCACTGTGGAGCATCTGGGAGTTGGTTATGTTGGACAAAGATAGAAGTGCTGTGGCTTATTTTGAGATCTAGCCAGAAAGCTTCAGGTTTGCTCAGGGAAAGAACAGAAGCATCCCTAAGAGCCAAACTGGCCTGAGAAGATGCAGGAGCTAGTCACCATCCTTTCACTGACCTCAGGGTCTGGGGCATATGTTCCACTCAACAACCCGCAGGGAAGCAGCAGGACTTGCATCAGTAATCTCGGTGGAAAGAGTGTTTCTGCAGGAGCTTGTGAAACACACCAGGAGTTTATAGTTAGGAGGCTGACTTCCTGGTGAATCAATCACAGTGTCAGCTGTAATGTGCCTGCACTTCCAGGATGACATACACTGACTTAGGAGCTTTAAGCAAAGTGAGGCAATGTCAGTGGCAGGGACTGAGGCACTCACCAAAGGTCAGGAGCTGTTGGGCAGCCCATGTTGGCCGTGAGAGTTACTCATAGAAGGCCTGGCATTGTGAGCCCCTGGACACGCATGGCACAATTTTGTGAAATATCTTTAAGCTTCATAACAATAAGCTTGACCCAGGTTGAATGCATCAGTTGGTTATCAATATCATAATTGGGGTTGGTTGAGGGATTTAGTTATTTGCCCCATGTTTGTGGGCAGCATGGGGATATGGGGGGAAAGTTTTTAAATGTTGTTTTCTCTTTTCTCCCTCCCAGCTCTGTGAATAAGGTCATTAGTAAAGTCATTGACTTGCCTTAAAGTCAAGCAAGACTTGGGTTCCATTCCTTTATGGGCTGTTACGAACTACATGCATTAGGATGGAATGTCAAAGATTCTCTGAACCATTTTCCTCATCTGCAAGATAGGGACATAATACCCACTCCACAGGTTTATTATTAGGGTTAAATGATAAAATATATGTAAAGTACATATCTCAGTGCCTGGCATTTAGGAACCCATTGTTTATTATAACAGGGTCTGTGATGATGTCAAGACATATAGAGCAGGGACTGGCAGGATCAGTCTGTACCAGGACCAGTTTCCTTTGGGAAGTCACATCAGGTATTAAGAAGGCACGACAGCTTAAAAATGTACTTCCTCTATCAAAAGCCCCTTCCTATCTTTGCCAATGACAAGCTAGATGAGGTGGGGTTGGTGGCCAGTGACAGCAATATGTCACTAATGCCTCTGTCCAATGTTCAGCTCTACTGGGGCCACAAAAAGGTGAGGTGAAGGAGAGTAAGTTAGGAGGTGGTGTAGCCAGGCAGAGCAAAGTGCTTATTGAAAAGGGTGATGCTCTCAAGGAGGGAGGGGGAGTAGTGACTGGGGTTGCCCCTGTACCCATTCTTCTGAGTGATGCCTGGGGTTGCCCCTGCACCCATTCTTCTGAGTGATGCCTGGGGTTGCCCCTGTGCCCATTCTTCTGAGTGATGCCTGGGGTTGCCCCTGCACTCATCCTTCTGAGTGATGATGATGTCACCACGAAAGCTCTGTTAAAACTCACTAGTGCCAAATGCTGAATTTCTATTGACAGTCATCAGATTCCAAGTTCTGATTGGAGCACTTCCTCTAATGGTCTGGCTAAAACTTCCCAAGGGGCTAGCACACTGACTGCCAACTTTTAGAACTGCCACCCTTTGCTTTTGCTTTTTGTTCCCTTTTGGAAAGACAGTTTCTTTTGTTTTCTTTCTTTCTTTCTTTCTTTCTTCCTTCCTTCCTTCCTTCCTTTCTTTCTTTCTTTCTTTCTTTCTTTCTTTCTTTCTTTCTTTCTTTCTTTCTTTCTTTCTTTCTTTCTTTCTTTCTTTTTTTTAATTTGCAAACTTGTTTCACTCAGCAACTGTCAAAATGTTAAAGGTAATTATTTTTTAACAAATTAGAATTTGCTTGCTTGGAGATTTGTTGTTGATGATGACTGTAAGAGGATGTAGAGCCTCCCTAGAATGTCTTAAAGTCAGCATTGGTGGCCTTTGCTTAATTATTCACAAGGATGCTTACAAAGGAGAAGGACAATGGAAGAGAAAGATGATACTCAGAGCAATTGTGGGAAGCTGGAGGGAGCTGTTTAGTGCAGTGCCTGGAGGGGAGAGATATCTCACATTTTCCTTTCATCTCTTTTTCCAAGGGTTATCTGATGGACAGGTCTTTAATCCGGTGGGGTGTCAGTGAGAAACCATCTCCCCTTATATTGCTTCCTTCTGATTCTTCTGTATGAGTGGGACCTAAAGCCTACACCTGGATCCAGCACACTTTTTCTCTCTAGGACAAAAGCTACCTGAATCCTCAGGCCCCAGTGCTCTGAAATGGAACTCATTGTTTTTGCATCTCACTGAAAGGGGCTTTATTTATCATGAATCTCATGGAAATAAAAGTCACCCCCTGCAGCTTTTCTTGGGCATAGATATTACCTCTGTTGCTGTTTCTAAGATCCAACAGGACTGCAAACTGATATTCTGATTGGGGTGGGAATGGCAAGAAGAGAAGAATGAAGGAACACAATACACTTACTTTTATAAATATAGAAACTACCACCAATCCATTTGGGCTCTTTGCAGCTTCTGTGACATTGGTATATAACTCGTGGTTATAGTGGATGAGCTGCACCTGGCAGGAGTGAAAAACAATAATAAGAACAACAATCTAGCATTAAAAGATGTGAGGTACGGCATATCCACCCTACATAAGGGTAAACTGTAAAGTACATTGTAGAACAATTGGAAAGATAATCCTATAATTGAAGAGATTTCAGGGATATGATCTGTGTGTGTGTGCATGTATAAAATACGTGCACACACACATACACACACATACAAAATACCCATACATATTTGCAAACGTTTTCTGGTAACAACCATGCATTTAATAAGCTTGGTGCCCATCTGGCTCTGGCTTCATCTCAGGACATTTCCCCTAAAGTGTGTGTAAAGTGAATTTCCCTTATTAGGAGCAGAACTGCCCTACAGGGGTGGACATGTTTCCAGGCTGCACCAGCAGCTGCCATTGGCAGCAAGCAAATCTTCCTCATGGCCATGGACAAGCAGGGAATTGCTAGGTCCTGAGTCAGCTCAGTGACACTGAGAGGAGACTGGCCAGCCTGCAAGATGCAGTGCTCCTGATGGAGAGAGAGCTGATGGCTTAGGCTCCTGATGCACCAGCCTGCACCAGTCACCTGATTGTGCAGGACTTAACTTGCTCTTCATTGAATGAAGATCAGCAATCTGCCTGTTGAGCCCTTGTTCATTCATTTCAGGCTGTGGCTTTAAAATAGCTTTTTATGTCCATGCCACTCTCTCACTTTGTCACAACTTACCCTTCCCCCTCCCCATATCCTCAAGTCCATATATACACTACCAAATGTAAAATAGATAGCTAGTGGGAAGCAGCCACATAGTACAGGGAGATCAGCTCAGTGGTTTGTGACCACCTACAGGGGTGGGATAGGGAGGGTCGGAGGGAGGGAGACACAAGATGGAAGAGATATGGGAATATATGTATATGTATAACTGATTCACTTTGTTATAAAGCAGAAACTAACACACCATTGTAAAGCAATTATACTCCAATAAAGATGTTAAAAAAATAAATAAATAAAATAGTTTTTATTTTTTAACAGTATGGAAGTATAATTTTGTAACAAACTAAAAGAAATTAAAAAACAAAAGTTCCCCTTCCCCACCTCTTTCTAATCCCAGTCCAAGCAATATGATTATTAAGAGTTTAGTATTTATTCCAGATTTTTTTGTGCTTATTAATCACACACACATATACATGTAGAGTTAAAAAAAACACTAAATGGATAAATTCCTAGAAACATACAACCTACCAAGACTGAATCAAGAAGAAATACACACCTGAACAGACGAGTACAAATAAGGTGATTGAAGTAGTAATCAAAAATCTCTCAACAAAGAAAATCCCTGGACCAGATGGCTTTGTGGGTGAATTCCACCAAACATTCAAGGAAGAACCCATACCAGTCCTTCTTAAACTCTTCCAAAAAATAGAAGAGAGAACACTTCCGAACTCATTTTATGAGGCTAGCATCATCCTGATACTAAAGCCAGACAAAGACACTGCAAGAACAGAGAACTAAAGGCCAATATCTCTTATGTACATAAATGCAAAAATCTTTAATAAAATCATAGCAAACCAAACTCAACAACACATTAAAAGGATTATACACCATGACCAAGTAGGATTTATTCCTGGGATGCAAGGATTGTTCAACACATACAAATCAATCAGTGTGATATACCACATTAACGTAATAAAAGATAAAAACCACATGACCATTTCAATAGATTCAGAAAAAGCATTTGACAAAATTCACCATCCATTCATGATAAAAAAATCTGAGAAAAACAGAAGGAACTTACCTCAATACAATAAAGGCCATATATGAAAAGCCCACAGCTAACATCATAATTAATGGAGAAACACTGAAAATTTCTCCTCTAAGATCCAGTACAAGGCAAGGATGCCCACTCTTGCCACTTCTATTCAACAAAGTCTAGGCAAAGCAATTAGACAAGAAGAAATAAAAGACATCCAAATCAGAAAGGAAGAAATAAAATTGCCTCTTTTTGCAGATGAAATGATCATATATGTAGAACACAATAAAGACTCAACCACACAAAAAAACTCTTGGCACTGATAAATTAATTCAGTAAAATTGCTGGATACAAATTCAGTATACAAAAATTGGTGGCATTTCTGTACACTAACAATGGACTATCCAAAAAGGAAATTAAAAAAAATAATCTCATTTATAGTAGCAACAACAAAAATAATATACTTAGGAATAAGCTCAACCAAAGAAGTGAACAACTTGCACACTGAAAACTATAAAACACTGGTGAGGGAAATTAAATAAAATAAATGGAAAGACAGGCCCATGTTTGTGGGCTGGAAGAATTAATATTGTTAAAACGTTCATGCTACTATAGGTGATCTACAGATTCAATCCAATCCCTAACAAAATTCCAAAGGCATCCTTTACATAAATAGGAAAAAAACCCTAAAATTCATATGGAACCACAAAAGACCCTGAGTAGTCAAAGCAATCTTGAGCAAGAAGAACGAAGTTAGAACGAAGCTAGAGGAATTACATTTCTTGGTTCCAAAATGTATTTCAAAGCTATAGTAATTAAAACAGTATAAATACATATGCATAGACCAGTGGAACAGAACAGAAGGCCTTGAAATAAATCCACACACTTATGGCCAACTGATTTTTGACAAGGGTTTCAAGAACACATAATGGGGAAAGGACAGACTCTTCAATAAATGATGTTGGGAAAATTGGATATTCCATGAAAAATAATGAAATTGGAACCTTATCTCATACCACATACAGAAGTCAACTAAAAATGGATTAAGGACTTATATGTTAGACCTGAAACTATAAAACTACTAGAGGAAAACATAGGAAAAAATTTCTTGACATTGGTCTTGACAGTGTTTTTTTGGTTATGACAGCAAAAAGCACAGGCAAGAAAAGCAAAAACAGACAAGTGGGGTTGTACCAAACTAGAAAGCTTCTGCACAGCAAAGGAAACAATCAAAATAGTAAAATGGTAACCTACAGAATGGGAGAAAATATTCACAAACAATGTATCTGATAAGGGTTAATATTCCAAATATCCAAGTAACTTATAACAACTCAATAGCAAAAAAACCCAAATAACCTGATTAAAAAATGGGCAAATAATTTCAATTGACATTTCTCAAAAGAAAACATACAAATGACCAATAGGTACATGAAATAGTGCACAACATCACCAGTAATTGGGGAAATGCAAATCAAAACCACAATGAGATATAACCTCACACTTGTTAGAATGGCTATTACAAAAAAGACAAGCGATAACAAGTGTTGGTGAAGTTGTGGACAAAAGGGAACACTTGTGCACTGTTGGTGGGAATGTAAATTGGTGCAGCCACTATGGAAAACTGGATGGAATTTCCTCAAAAAATGAAAAATAGAACTATCATAAGACCCAGAAACCCCATCTGTGTATATGTCCAAAAGAAATGAAATCTGTCTCTTAAAGAGATATCTGCACTCCCATGTTCACTGTAGCATTGTTCACAGTAGCTAAGATATGGAAACAACCTGAGTGTCCACTGAGGGATGAATGGATAAGGAAAATGTGATACATACCTCTCCCCACACACTGGAATATTATTCAGCGATAAAAATAACTGAAATCCTGTCATTTGTGACAACATAGATGAACCAGATGAGCCAGAAGGACCTTATGCTAAGTGAAATATGCCAGACACAGAAAGTCAAATACTGTATGAACTCATTTATAGGTAGAATCTAAAACAGTCAACTCATAGAAGGAGAGAATAGAATGGTGGTTGTCAGGGGTTGAGCAGAGAGGGAAATGAGATGTTCGTCAAAGGGTACAAAGTTTCACTTATGAAGGTGAATGAGTTCTGGAGCTCTAATGTACAGCATGGTGGTGATAGTTAACAATATTGTATCACACACTTGAAATTTGCTAAAAGTATAGATCCTAAATTAAATCTTTTTTTTTTAACATTTTTATTGGAGTATAATTGCTCTACAATGGTGTGCTAGTTTCTGTTCTACAACAAAGTGAATCAGTTATACACACACATACATCCCCACATCTCCTTCCTCTTGCATCTCCCTCCCACCCTCCCCATCCTACCCCTATAGGTGGTCACAAAGCACCGATCTCATCTCCCTGTGCTATGCAGCTACTTCCCACTAGCTATTATTTTACATTTGGTAGTATATATAAGTCCATGCCACTCTCTCACTTTGTCCCAGCTTACCCATCCCCCTCCCCGTATCCTCAAGACCATTCTCTACATCTGTGTCTTTATTCCTGTCCTGCCCCTAGGTTCTTCATAACCACTTTTTTTTTAGATTTTATATATATATATATATATATGTGTGTGTGTGTGTGTGTGTGTGTGTGTGTGTTAGCATACGGTATTTGTTTTTCTCTTTCTGACTTACTTTACTCTGTATGACAGACTCTAAGTCTATCCACCTCACTACAAATAACTCAGTTTAGTTTCTTTTTATGGCTGAGTAATATCCCATTGTATATATGTGCCACATCTTCTTTATGACCCAGCAATCCCACTACTGGTCATATACCTTGAGAAAACCATAATTCAAGAAGAGTCATGTACCACAGTGTTCATTGCAGCTCTATATACAATAGCCAGGACATGGAAACAACCTAAGTGTCCATTGACAGATGAATGGATAAAGAAGATGTGGCATGAAATTAAATCTTATCACACACACCACACACACACACACACATATATCTATGAATTTGTGATGGATATGTTATTTATTTCGATTGTGGTGATTTTTTCACAATGTATACATATATCAAAATATCTGTTGTACACCTAAAATGTATACAATTTTGATATGTCAAAGATATCTCAATAAAAATAAAAAATGAAAAGTGAAAAAACAATGGAAATGGAATCACTTATAAGTAACTGTGAACTTGATTTAAAAAAATTATTTTTTTAAAAATTAAAAGTAGTCTGTGGCTATCTTTCTAAGTCAATGTGTATGGATCTACCTAAATCTTTCTAATAGC